GCTTAATATTTGACACCTTTCCGTGTCGTGCCTATCGCGTTCTGGATTTGGACAGCTTCACCTTGGATCTTCTCACACGAATTTTCTCATTTTTCTTGTCGACTTTTGATGATATCTTCACTGCAGCCTTGGACAACATAATATTCAAGGCGATATCTTTCAGCACTTGACTCGTCTTCACCTCATCCCTAACATCCATTATACGATTGATATTTTTTTAGGTTTTGCATTTGCTTTCAATCGTAGGCAGCATTTTATTTTATGTTTTACGTTTTTTGCGTAACGGTTCCAATGGGTCCTTTCTATCATTGGTAAGGTTAGACAGATCCTCTCCAAAAATGTCTATCATCAAATTTCTAGTTTTCATCTTTCTACCTTTTTGATCACTGATGTTACTCCTTTTCTCATGCTTGTCAAGATCAGACAGATCTTCGCCAAAGCATTCTTTCATCAAATGTTTACGTTTCATCTTTCTGTCTTTTTTATCACTGATGTTACTCTTTTTCTCATCCTTGCCAGGATCAGACAAATCTTCACCAAAGCATTCTTTCATCAAATTTTTATGTTTCATCTTTCTATCTTTTTTATCACTGATGTTACTCTTTTTCTCATGATCGTCAAGATCAGACAGATCTTCACCAAAGCATTCTATCATTAAATGTTTACGTTTCATCTTTCTGTCTTTTTTATCACAGATGTTACTCTTTTTCTCATTCTTGTCCAGATCAGATAGATCGTCACCAAAGATTTCTACCAACAAATTTGTATCTTTGATATTTTTATCCTGTGGTGTGCTTTTGTCCACAGACGAATTCAATGACGTTCTGCTGCTGGTAACTTTGATGGCACTGGAACTTTCAATAGAACTTTTCGGCTTAATCGGTACTCTTTTTATCAACATAGACTTCACCACAACAGATTCTGAGGTTTTTCTACTAAAGCACAAATCGTTCATCATGAGAGCATCAGCGAAACTGATAGCCGATTTATTATCAATTCCAACATGCGGAATCTCCTGATGCTGTGGTTTTAAGACTGGATGTATTTCACTTTTACCACTATCATCACATTTTGACTTAACAACAACTTTGGAATAACACATTTTGTATGTTTGTAAGTTTTCACTACTTTACTGATGTCTACTGGAGAACTAATGATTCTTTTCAATCTGCAACGTCCTTTTATACTAAATATTCATCGATCATAAACGGTTATTAGATTTGGGGTAATAAAAAATTGGAGTAAAGGTTTCCCTAATATTTAGCAGGTAGATGCAGAACTTAATTATATTTGGAAAAAGTTGATTTTATTGGCCCGCTGTAAAAAAAGGTCTACATAAAATATGCAAAGAGCAATTGACTTCAGTATTTCCGCCTATCATAAAATTATTTTATAGATTTAAGTAATAATTTTACTTTTACAAATTCATCGCTATTACCTAAATACATATTTCCTAGTATTATAAGATAATAGATTATTATCCCGCACTCCTGATTTCTCCAAATTAATATACAAATTAGGGGCAATTCCAAGAATTAATCCATTTGCCTATAAAGCTCTAAAACATGCGACATTTAACTCTATTTATCACAATAATTAATATTATAATAGATAACTTTAACTAATCTCAATTAATTTGAAAAAAATGGAAATTCTATACAAACTATATATATTATTTCATACATAATAATATTTATTTGAATCTTCTTTAATTTTCATCCGTTTTAATAAAATTCACTTTTTAATTCAGATTTTAACATCTTTTATATAATAATTTCATATTATATTTATGAATGAGGTTTAGCATATGGACCTTCAGCCAAGTCGATGGACAACGACAGTGTTAAGAATAGCAGCAGATTCACAGTCAAAGGAAATAGTGGAATCGCAGAGCATCAATATACTACTGAAGTTGTAAATAAATTTATAAAATTCAAATAAAAAATTGTTCTTAAATGATTTTTTGTAATGGAAATAGTTTAAATTTTATAAAATAAATCGTGAAAATTAAACAATATTAAAACATTTTGTAAATTTTACAAAAATAAATGGTTTTTAATTCTTAAACAAAATAAATATATCCCACATTAGGACTATTTAATTATCATTTTTTTTTTATTTTATTAAGCCATTTATAAAGATTGTTTTTTTTTTTATAATTTTATAATTGTACTGATTTGTCTTATGTATATTCTCCTGATATTTTTTGTGAAGTAAATTGGAGTTTTTAATTGAAGTGTTAAATAATCTTGTAATTATTTCTACAATATCTATTGAATTATATTATTCATTATTTGTATCTGTGTGTTTTTTTTATATATATAAAGCAAATTGTGTTTTGTATTGTATTTGGCAAATGCATTTTCCGGATTGATTTTTGCACGGACAACAATACAAATGCATCTCGTTTCATAATCGTTAAAGAAAATTCATTGGCTTCATTCATTCGTTTCGAATTCGAGCGTTCCGATGTTTTCCCTTCCCTATTTCTCGCAGTGTTTTCCTACGGAGAGCAGCGCAAAAAGGCTTTCAATAAGAGTATTTCTCTGGTATCCTAATAGCGATTGCATTGTGCCGGATTGTTTCCTCTGCATAAATTGTGGAAATTCAATGTTCCCGCGAAGTATGAAAGAAAGGAATTCCATTTATATTGAATACATTTGCGCGTGTTTTGTTGCTTCGCTTTCTTCGTCGTCTTTTCTTTTCTGGGACGAACCGGAAGTGTATTTTTCTGGCTGAGTTATGATTGGATTAAAAGAGAGTACAGAACTTAACCAGAAATGGGAAACAATAATTTATGCGATTGTGCAAGTGCGCCCTCCTCCCCGCGACGGGGTTATTTTTTTGATTATGGGGCGAATGGGGGGCGTCGAGCAGAAAGTATTTATCAAATTGAGTGCGACGCAAACAGGAACGAAAATCACATGTGATGATAATAAAGGGCACTAAAAGCAGCCCCACATAAATAACGTCCGAAAAATAAGGCCATTCCGTATGAATTTAAGTCAATTTGCAGGAAGCAAGGGCGGGGTGTATCCACCCTCTTCCTCCTGGCTCTCCGTCCGACACGGTCGCACTCCCTTTTGTATCAATGAGCGAGGAGAGTTCTTTATAGTTATGGATTGTTCCTTAAGTTTTCCTGCTCTCGAGAACCTTCCACCATTCGACTCTCTCTCCTTCATCCCATCCATATTTTTTTTCTTCTCGGAAGTTATCCAATATCCCCGGGACGCCGACTACCAAAAACGTGACCGTCAGAAATCATAATTCCTCTAGAAGAGCAAGCAGATACATCTCCTTTCACCAACGATCCGGACACCTAGTCGAATACTAAACAGCGTGAAAGAAAGAGAGCGAGAACTTTAGGCATCGAAATTATACCGAGAATTCTTTGTGAAATTAACCTTTTAGGCATATACTCATATATATGTACAGGGTGTTCCTTATCACATAATCTATTCCGTACATTCAGAAAAAAAGATACTTCTTCTGACCGAAAATAAGAGTCCCAGGAGTAGTAAAATATAAAAAAAGATCAAGTCTTCTTCGATATTTTTAAAATGTTCATATTATCATTGTATTAGACCACATATTGTCATAAATATGTTTACCTTAAAAATAGAATAAGTACGTTATAAATAAGTAAAACGACTAATATATTTAATACATTTGACAGCTTATTGCAGAAGATTTGTAATGACCACAAACTTACAAATGGGCTTAATGGAAAGGTCATATGTTAATCTTTTAAAAACATGTTTGATGTTATAATTATCTTAAGAACTTATGAAGTAATTAAGAAAAATGTAAAAGTTCTGCATTTTGAAATAATATTTAATTTGATAGCTTATTTTAAGAAATTGGCAAATACGACAAATAATTCAATATGAATATGATAGAAAGACAATTGTTCATACATTAATTTACATTTTTACTGATTTAACAAGCATTAATGGGTTTTGAGTAATTATGAAAAATGTGAAGGTATGTTCAGAAATGGGCAAACGCAGCAATTTTTTTTATTAGAAACACAATAGTTTATAGATTAATTTGCATATTAGTTTATCTAATTATTATTAATGGTTATTGAGTAATTCAAATGTTAAGACTATGTATTTTGAGTTTTAATTTAATTTCACAGCTCATTTTAATAAATTGGAAAATGCAACAAGTCTTTTAGTAGACTTAGTAGAAAAGCAATTGTGTACAGAATAATTAGCATATTATTAATTAAACCAAACTTGAAGAATATTGAAAAATCGTTATATCTCGGTTATTAATTATTATAAAAAAAATCCAAAATTTAGATAATAAATGTATTCAATTGCTAAATTTTCTAAACTTTTTGCTAGTAAAAATTGGTTATGGGAAATAGATCTAGAACATCTGTTTAGGTAAGAAATTACAGAAAGAATCTTTACACTTTTATTAGTAACACCCTGTATTTCTTTCATCCAGCCTGTCTGAGCCACCCTAGGAGTAGAGGAGAGACAGCTGCTGCAAATAATATTGATATATTAAATAAGTTTTCGGATTCTCGATTTTTCAACTAATACTTCGCAACTACTACATCAATTTAAAGTTCGGAAATTTGTATACGTCGCAGGCGGTGTTCCCAAACCCAAAAAAAAAACCTCCAACACTACCCCCGAAAACCTTCAAATATTCGAACGCCGCTAATTACACTTCCGCCTTTTCTCGCACTCAACGCAAAAAAAGAATCATGGAATGAAGCAAGAAGGAAAACCAAAATCAAATCAATCAATTAGGTCGTTAAAGGAGCTGAAGGGAATACGTGACTGAAGACTCAATACACCCTTTATTTAATGGAAGACGAAGAGATGCACAACATCTAGAAGAGTCGATCGATCACTCACGCAACAAAGCCTTATTAATACGAGCGATTTGAATAAAATATATATGTCTGGTCGTTATCTTGAGATAAAGATTTTTGAAGATTGCGCTGTTTGTACAGAGAGTAGCCAGTACGAGGATCGATCATGGAGCTGTCGATTATACTGAACCTGCAGCCTTCCGCGCTGAAAACCTTATCCAGCTTATTCGGATACGTGGGCATCGTGAGTGTTGATCCGACCTCTCCAGGTATATTACCTAATAACCAATCCAGTTGTTCCGAGTGTTAGCCGTCGGAGCTCTCTCCGTATACTTATCCGACGAGGACAGACCGGATCATTACGACGTTTTTGTGAAGGCAGCTCTAGGTTACTCGATCGTCTCCTTAATTGCGAACGGCTGCATGCTCGTCGGCATCATCAAGGTTAGATAAGTGCTACAACCTACAATAATACTACTGCAACATGAAATTTTGGTGATGTGATGAACTGGAGATCTCTGTTTTCCAGGACGTGCATTGGCTTCTCCTTCCTTATCTCGGCGTCCTGATGCTGGAGATAATTGGATCCGTTATCGGCCTACTTCTCGCCATCTTCCTATTTCACTTCGGCTTCGTGCACCTGCTCATACCGACCTCAATTTTGCTGAGTAAACATATCAATCCAACAACCTAAATTGATACATTTTCGACAGTTTATTTATCTTTTTTCTTTCTTTATCTCTACCTTCTGCTACTGCAGTATTGAACGTCTACGTTTGGATGACTATCACGAAGCTGTTTCGCTTCATGGAGACCAAGTTCCGTTATCTGAGGAGCGTGACGCTCACGCAGAATTAGGGGATGGCACGATGCGGCACGCAAATTGAGTCTTCTAATCTCGCATATGCTGGATATTCCAAATCGATATTCAATTATTAGGTAACACTCGAAATAACGAATATTTCTTCTAGGATTTTTTTATATAATCGATGTGAAATACGAGAAAATACGATTTCAATTTCCGTAATCTTTGATTTGATTTTTCTTATCTAAACTTAATCAATTCTAGATAAAACTATCAAATAAACACAAATTTCTACACTACCAATCCATTAAATTATATTACAATTTATTAGACATAAAATTATTTTTTTTTATTGCAAATCGAATTGTACTTAAGTAGAATATTTACATTTAATCAGTAGTTAATAAATAATTGTTTTAACAAATGTTACTTACTTTTTCTAAAATCCTGTGAAATACCAAAATCCAACGAGAAATGCAAAGGATAAGAGTAAATCGAAAAATAAACATATCCTGATTTTGTTCTGGTGAAACCGGAAGGCTTGACAATGCTTCCGTTTTTGGTGCCAATCCGAAAATTTGTTTTTTAATGTGGAATAAGTCCATTATAATCATAGTGAAAAATCAACTTTCTAATGCAATTTTTTATTGATTATTACAACTTTTCTGTGCACTGCCCTTTAGCAGATATTGGCTAGTGCCTTAAAAGCAACATCGTATACAAACTTATTTCTCCTTTACATTTAGCATAGTTAAAGTTTCATGGTAAATAGGTGGTATGCAGGGCACTAAACTTATCAAATATATTTTGTTGTTTGATCTTGACGTTTTATACAATGGTAACATAGAGAGATGTTTAGATATTGCTGAGTTGTTACGTTCTTAAATCATTTTTTTTTTCCAAAAGTGGACTTAAAATCCTAAAATCCTAAGAGAAATGTTAAGGGTAAAACAAAAAACGATTTTGTCCTAGTGAAACCGGAGGGCTTGACAATGTTTCCATTTTTGGTCGCAATCCGCAAATTTGTTTTTTAAAGTGGAATAAGTCCATAATAATCATAGTGAAAAATCAACTTTCTAAAGCAATTTTTTATTGATTATTACGACTTTTCGTTAAGGTTTCATGGTAAATATTTGGTATGTAAGGCACTAAACTTATTTGTTTGATCTCAACTTTTGCTGAGATGTTTTGTTCTTAACTCATTTTTTTTTCCATTAGTGGACTTATAATACTTTCAACAAAAAAAGACGGCTCATATGTTACTTACTTTTTCGAAAATTCTGTAAAATACGAGAAAATACTAAGAGAAATGTTAAGGGTAATACGAAAAACGATTTTGTCCTAGTGAAACCGGAAAGCTTGAGAATGTTTCCGTTTTTTTTTGTGGAAAGCGAAGGCCTGCCAACCCGGAGACCTCCCTGGGATCAACCTAATGACGTGATCAGTTTCAACGACACCGACAATATTTATGCGCGCCCACGAAAATTCCGAAAACGATCAATTCCTCGCCGGCAGGAAACGCACGAAAATCATTTTCAACAGATTTTTTTTTTACTTGAACCCCACCGACCGACCGCTTTTCCATTCCTTATTTATTTCCTTCATCGGTCGCCCGGTTTCTTTTTTTCATTCAAGGCGTAAAAATCTGGAAAGGAAATCAATACGTCTTGTAAAGAGAAAAAACAATGTGTATATTTTTTAGACAAATTAAGAAATTTAAAAGAGAGAAGCAATGTATTTCTTAAAAATTGTTACTAATTATTAAGAGATATTGAAGAATTTGTTAATAAATTAAGAAACTGAAGATGGACAAAACTGTAATTTTATTAAGAAAAAATATTGAAGTTTAGATGAAACAAGCGCCGCGGGAATGTCTGAACTTATTGTGTCTGTTTCTGTTGTCTTTTCTTTATTCCCATCTACTTGATCTTTTGTTTTAATTCCATGTAAGACAATTGTGAGAAAACTGAATGGCAGACTAATTAGAAATTAATTTATTTTTTTTTGTCTCGCTGAGGGCGAAACGAAAACCTTCCATGTTTATTATTTCAAGTAAGAGACGAAAATTAATTAAGTTTCAAAATAACTAACTTCAAATTTTCACCACCGCATAAGACTCTAATATTGTCAACTGTAATTAAACATTAATTACCATTATGTTAAGTAACTTTTTCAATTACTTTATCAAGTTTTATATAGAGGCAAAAGTGTTAACAATTTGAATGAATTTCATTTACTGATAATCTAAATAAATTTGAATAATTCATATGACTTTTATTTACTTTTCAAGCATATAAACACTAATTTTAGCACAAACTTAAGTAATTTAGATTATTTATACAGGTAAGCTTCGTTTTGCGCTGGTTCGATTTACGCCGATTGACAATAACGCCGCGGCGAAATAACGCTTGTTAATTGCTGATTTTACACTTATATAAAACTGAAACCTATAGTTACCTGACTGTAAATATTTTTTCATTTTACGCCGATTCGATTTGCGACGGTTTTTCTAAGAACGGAACTGCGGCGTAAAACGAAGGCTACCTGTATTTGCAATTAAAGTAAATGGTTACATTATAAATATAATTATTATAAAATATCATTTTTTTTGTTGTTATATTATGAAATATCATTTTTGTTATATTTCTATGTAATTTATTATATGGAATTGTAGAGAGAGGTTTTTGATTTATTTTAAGAAATATTGCGGCAGATGTTGTTGAGGAATATGAAGGGTTGGAGTGAGAAGGGGGTGGGTGGATGTGCGCCCGATCCATCTCCGGTTTCTCATCTGAGGTTGAACTTGCCAAATAAGATCGGGCATTGTCATGTTGCAGTGCGCTGCAGGATAACTAAAGGATGTCGACTTCCCAATTATTCAACATGAAAAATTCCGATCGAGTTTCCTTCTCTCGAAATTAATAACGATCTCTCTCCCTTGTAATTGAAATACAAGGATGCTCCGGTTTCCCAGTTTCCACTATCTCGGTTTATGTAATAACAACAATACCGATATTAAATCGTATCGTATTGAATATTGAAAAAAAGAAGTTTTTTATTTTTATATAATTGTTTTAATCCTTCGTTGCAAAAAAATAATATACCGGACTTTTTGAAACCGGATTAATCGAGGAATAAAACGTACCTAACCTAATTATAGTCAATCCGGACTAATCGAATCCGAACTATTGGAGGTATCGGTATATTATATAACAACACTTTATGTATTTGTCTGCAATATAATTAATATAAATAAGATTTAGATAATTAATCTTTAATTAGTGTAATTAAATTAGTCTACGTTTTTAGTACGAAATAATGAAGAGAAATGAAATAAGTCTGTAAATTAAACTTTTTTGAGCAGAGCCATTTTTAAGATATTGCTTGTTGTAGTTTAGGGAGCCGCAGTAAGCGTTACTATTGCTATTGTTTTCCAGTGAAATGAATTTTCTATAGCACTTCTGTGCAAGTCAGGAGCCGCAATTTCCTATAAAAGAGCCGCATTCTAGTTCGGAGCCGCGGATTAACATAATGCTCATTATGGACGAGACAAGAAAGAGTATACATTAATAAGAAATAGATAACGAGAGAAGAAGGATTGAATTATTGTTGTATTTTGTGAAAGGATTACATAATTAATATTATTATGCGCTGTGGCTGCTTTCAGCTTAAGAGATTAACGTTTAGTTTACTTAATAAATGATGTATAATCAAGCAAAACAAAAAATATTAGTAAAGTTACACATGTCTATAATTCAAAAGTATTAATGTAGGAATCGTGTTTGCTCTTGGTAAGGTGTCGACATCGATCACGCAATGAGGCATGAAATAATAAAATATCGGCGACAAAAAGTTTTTTTTTTCTTCCTTCTTCAGCTTATGCGTTCAGCAATTTAAATCCAATCTGTTGCAGAAGAAAAGTCGTTACCATCTTGAACCCATATTGAAACCTAAAAGTGTCGCATATTTGGCGCTTCATCACTGTCACAGGGTTGTAGCAAGGGGAGGATTGGTGGTGGATGGAACTATAAATATTGCTTCGCAATTTTTATGCGCTGCAGATCCGCCGTTCGTCTTCCTCATCCATCGGGGATGCATTTTAAATAATCCGAAGCCTATAAATTAAAGCAGAACCAATTCTGGAGGATGGAATTCCATCCATTACGCAGATTGCCGATCGATGTTTGCAAGTTTTTTCGCGTTGCCGCTTCTCTTAGTAATAATGAAGAGAAGTCGTAACTGTGTGAAAAATGAAGAGACGACGACATCTCGTCCGGATGCGGTAAATAAAGTTTCGCGACGCCGGGGCTCCAGAGACCGGAAGTCTTCCATTCAGATGACGGAGGATGTCGGATGGTGCACAACCACCAGCAGCACCAGCACCTCTCAACGCGGATGAATCAATATTAACCGGCTTTTAGTAATAAAGTGGATTATGATGGCGAGTTTCTGGACTTTCCGAATTAGTCGGCTGGGGACACTTGCTAAATCCCTTCCAACGACCCACATAAATTCAGATGCGTCGCAAACCAAAATCTAAGCTAGCTGCAATAAAACACAGTGGATTAGGTACAATGGAAATATACAAAACGCACGGTTTTGCGGCGATGGAAAAATAAAACAAATTAAAATGGGGGAGATGAGTATTTTCCCCAACCCTGTAGCAGCGAACTGGCAAAGAGTAATCAAGTTTTAATTCGTCCCCACACCACTTTAATTTACCAAGTAGTTATGTTCACCCCTTCGCGCGACATCTTGGCGTGACACATGTCATGGGAGGCAGGCGAACTTGAATAGAAGTAGCTGTTAAATATCATCAGTCTCTTAATGAAGTCCCACCATTTGCGGTATTCAGCTCACATAACTCACGACATTCAGAGACATATTAAACCTGGAACGCAAACAATCACTCATTCACTCCGAAGCCGACATCCATCAACGAAAAACAGGAATAACAACAACAACAACAACGGAAGCGGCAAATGGGGGAAAAATAAAAATTAAATTGAATCTCTTGCACCGCCGCACATTCCACCTTGGATTCTGTAATTAAAGGGCGCTTTCAAATTGAATATGGAATTACTCGTGTCGCAGCGAAAACCTAAATTATTAAATCCGGGAATGCGTACAAACTCACGTATTTCTTACATGCAGCATTTACTTAGCGTTTATTAATAGAGATTTACATGATTCGAAGGCAAACGTGATTGTTCTGCTTGATGAGATTCGTGTCTTTCCTAGAATTATTTGTGAAGTTCTATTAAAAGCTGGGAAATAATTTTAATTAAGAAATACATTTAATTAATTTATTTATT